TTCTCTATTCCGCTTAAGGTACGGATTTCACTTTCTTTCACTCTCGGGAAACTAATTGTTGTAGTTGATCCTTTGTAACGGTGGTTCATCCCTTTGTGATTGATCACTTAAAAGTGGTTAACAAATTACGTACCTATATATATAGAAACTCTATCTTTATCGTGAACACTTGAATTTAGTCTGTTAATTGTATGTTTGAATCTTTCATGTTTGTTAAATTGATTTTCATATTTTGAAGTAGTTTTGAATTTTATCAAGTACTTTGAAGCTTGATTTTTATATGAACACCATCCGGATAATGGCACATGTTTTGTTTTATTAGTTTTCAACATCACCCAATTGATGAGCACATTAGTTGGGATGCCTTCTATGGCGGCTTTGTAGTCATGATGTTCTGCAGGTGAACTCAGTCACAGGGTTAGGCCCAATAGTGGCTTATGTGAACCCACCTTGTGGACTAGGCCGATTTTATTGGCTCCAGGGCGGATGGATTGATCCTAGGATTACCCACCATGTGACCGTGGTTAAATTTACGGGGGACTCGGGGTGCGTGCCCACATGCTGGCTCGATAGTTCGTGTRGTTTGGCCACCCCACGAACATCACAAGAATTGACAGATTTTGTTTTTATTATGTTTGAAATGAGAATTGTGCAACATCTTGATTTTCTATGAGTTCAATTTAATTGATTTGCAAGTCTTCCACTTTATTATCGATGTTACGTATTATTATTTCAAATTTATATTATAATTTGTTTACTGAGCCTCGTGCTCAGCCATGTTCTTGTTTTCTGACAAGGCAGATTCCAAGTGATTTTGATAGGGATGGGACTTGAGATCGAGCATTTGACTTTTGGAGTTTGTAAACTCATTTGTAGATGTTAATATTCTAAGCTTATAAATAGTTGTTAGCATGTAATATTTTGGTTTGTAAAGCATGCTTTAAAAGTTAATCTATGTATGGAGTTTATTAGTAACTTTATAATGTTTGTGTCTTTCAATTAAGTTCCGTTAGTGACACTGCCCGTCCCAGACCATGTGGATGGAGGATTATACTGAAATTTAGAAAGAGCAATTAATTTAAAATTTTCGATAATACATCAAATAAAGGATAACTCCATTGCTACAGATCATACTTGATTACATCAATTGGAAAATCTAGGTTTAACATCATTAAGAGATAAGTTAAACCTTACAGAAAAGTCTAAATTAGGGGCGAGTGTTACTAAAACTCAAAAACTATCGCTATCTCCAAGGTGCGAAAGTCATCATTGAATAGTTAAATCCTTCTCATGAATCTAACTAGCACCTGAGTGGTGAAACTTTTATCACATGCCCATTGATGCACTCCATTCATTATAAAAGTATACAAACGTTGTTTTTAACTCAAAATATTGGAGTCATCTTAACTAAGTTCAAACCACTTGATCAAGCATCAGGCATAAGGTTTCATGAGCAAATCTTCATAATTAAGCATCAAACCCACAACTATCTTCTTTTTTAATGTATACAATATTTATACACGGCAAATACTCATGCACACTCCTTATTTTTGGTGAAAACAATGTAGAGAAAAAGTCATAATAATGTAAGAAACAAAGGTATTTCATCGTCCCGAACCCGCCCGAAACCCGAACAGGCTCGAACCCGAACTTCACCCCGAACCCGACCTGCATATTACGGGGCATGATATTGCAATCCAATACCCGATCGGTTTCGTCGATTTATGGTCCGATCCGACCCGTGCTCACCCCTATACAAAACCATAATTCATGGAAAACACTCCATACTAAAAACAACACTGAAAACATGTATAATACATTATCTGGAAATAATACCTTTCGATGATGGGGGAGACCACATCGAATGTGATGAACACAAAAGGTAAGCCACATCCTATGTTAGAGAGTTCTACTATGGTTCACACGGTCATCAAGTTCAACCATCCACGGTCTATAGCCTGATTCCTCTGTTGATCCTAGTCATACCCGTTGACAAGAAATTTATGCCCCATGTGTCCTCACGGTCATCATGTTCAACCACTCACAATCTATAGCTTGAGTCCTCAGCTATGAATCACATGGTCATCAAGTTCAACCACTTACACTTTATACCATGAGTCCTCTATTATGGCTCACATGGTCATCAAGTTCAACCACTCACAATTTGTACCTTAAGTCCTCCGGTATGGATCATATGGTCATCAAGTTCGACCACCCATAATATGTACCTTGAGTTCTACGTTGATCCCAAATAACTCTAGCTACATTACAGGGATAAAGATCTCATTTTAAAACCGACCTATCGACTCATATACTTATTAATCTATTGCATTACAATCTAAATTGTATGACCCCTAATGAATGACCATACACTAAAGCATGTAAGATTTCAATTAAATATGATATAACTACATATAAGTCCAAAAAATCGACATAGAGCAACTAAACCAGACAAATGTCCCCAAGACTCATCTGAGTCAAAACTAAGCCAAGAGCTCAATAACTCAATTGACTATAGTAAAACCATCATAACTAATAAAAGCTTATTTAACCAACGTTTATACAAACGCATGATCTAAAGGCATGATTAACTAAAAAACCCATCCTTAGTTGGACAAACCATTTTCTAGTTGATATTATTCCATTTATATGTCCAAAATGTCCCGTAACGTAATAATATGCAGTTTTCTAAACCATATACACTAAAAATGCATTATCACCAAATAATATCCCTTTATAAGATAAATCATAAAAGGAACCCACACTGATGATTTATTTATCAAAATCCCCAAAAACCGAAATACGGATATCTCACGAGATTTTATATAATCAAATATACCAAATACGAAAAACTCACCAAACCAACCCGCACATTTGATAGATATCAAATAAAACACATTAATACTTTAAAATGGACATTTTTGGCATGTATAAAGTTTTCATAAAGCAACTTGAACTCATCTTACTAAGTTAGGTTAAAACGTAGGTTCCAAACCCATCTTTAGTTTCCAAAGTGGCGAAGACCTTAGATATCCAAGCTAAACTTCTAGATATGTGATGCATAGTTTCTCAAGAACACTTCATTTACTCCCAAAACATACACAAACAAACCTAAGGGAAGAAATCAGGGTTGAGGTGAAAATAACCAAATCTTAGGTTAAGAAATGGTTGGTTATAGACTTACCTTTCAACTTATAGAAAACCCAACTCTTCGAGTAAACTTTAATCCTCTTTGTTTCCATCTTTAAGAGCTTCAAAATACAAAACCATAGCTCTGAAATTGCCCCAATAGGGTTAGAAACGAGTGAGATATGACAAAATGAACATGCATCGAAAATCAGATTAAAAATGATATGTACGCATGAGGCCACTTTTTGGGTGAATTAAGTCGCACCAAAAGGTCGCCCGACCACTTTCTAGGTTGCATGACCCTTACCAGGTCGCCTGTTAGGCCGCCTAGTAGTTCCTCGACCATTTTCGACCGTTTTCTCAGTCATTTTCCCCGCCTTCTTCTGACTATTTCCCTGGTCGTTCCTGACCGTTTTCAGAAATTTTTGGGTGTTACACCAGTTGACTTCCAAAGCCAAAGGAGAAGATCCTCTTTCTTTCCCAAATGCTAGATACAATTTCAACTCCTTGGAAGAGAGAAAGATCACCATGCGGAATATAGAGAAAAACAATTTATTCAGATGGATAATTATTGTAATTCACACTACCATTGTCCATCAATGGATCTCTATTTATATAGTGTAATGATAGTCCTTATAATAAACAAGTATTATAGATACCATGTCAGATAGAGGGGTACATGCCTTTAAAATATCTCATATCTTCTAAAACATGATTGCCTTTAACAAATAGATTATAATTGACAAGTCCAGAGCTCAAACTTCATGTTTGTCAAACAAGTTACTATAGTTTTATTATACTTAATCAAATTAAATATCACAAAATTAGTTATAATAATAAACACTTTAATTATTTATTCTCGTTATTTAGATATACATTTTATGTGTATGACCGATTGGAACTTTATCATGTTAATTGTAAATCCTATTTATAATTATGAAGGAAGAGTGGGCATCTAACGATACATCATCGTTACCCAAATGATAAAGTCTGGTGATTTATGTGATCAACAAATAGAAATAGGACATTATGAGTTACCTATTTAGTTGAAATAAATAATATATATTTAATCTTTTAATAAATATATATAACTAGTTCGGAGTGGAGCGAGGAGTATGATCCTCGTTCCTGTCCCCGGTTTAGCAGGGAATCCCATCCTCAATCGGGACGGATGGACCGGTTCCCGACAGGCCGTGGCCGATTCCCATGCCTATCAACAAATTGTACGATCAAAGGGCCTTTGGCCTAGTGGTATCGTAGTTCTTGGCTTCCTAGGAGGTCAAGGGTTCAAACCTCACATTGAGTTTATTTGTTGCATTTGCCGTATATAAATATTATATACTTAAAAAAAAAACAAATTGTATGATCATTATCAGTGTACGCATTTACGTCCCTTTGTCTTCGATATCCAGATTGAACACGAGGCATGGATGTATAATCCTGGTATGTCCGATCTTTAGTTTCTCGATTCCGGAATATAATGATAAGACACCTAGAGTGGTAGACTTTATATTTGATACAATGTGAAAAATATGTGGAACCCTATTAGATTAATCTCTAAAAGTTTCTTTGAGAAAAGATGGAATGTTACAACATATTTGAGGAGAAGTGGTCGAGTCTAGTTCGATGTGAGATTCTAACAAATTATTCAACCAAATGTTCAATCTTCGTATTCCAAGATCAAATCGTATGCTTATGCTTAATGCTTTAGGACATACACTTCATTTACATGTACCATCGTACGATTTGACCTAATCGTTAACCTAGTTTAATCGGGTATTCTTCTACGCTTGGGGTATGCGCTACCCTCGAGAACACACCTATCGTACCCGTCCCACGACCATTGGGGTGAAATCTCAATGTCTCAGAGGCAATATGTTTCTTTGCTTGTATTTGCCTTGTTATCTCCGAAAACGTAACGAGCCCCTTTAACCGTAGAGTGTTGATAAGATCTTATTGTCTTTTATTAGAACTTACAACACTTGTGAGAAACAAACTACGACTTGATGGAACTAAAACCACTACTTATAGGAATATGCATTGCCTTTGCTTCGGTTGCTTCTTCCTCATCCTTTTTCGTGGCTTCAAAGCAACCCTAATTGCTGTGTCGAAGACTGCCTTCACGTTCTGAAACAAAAAGATATTGAATTCGGACGAAATCAAGAAAAACATGATACGAGTCACTAGAAATGCATAGATCCGCACGCGTCTACGGTGAATAGTATACTTTGAAAAATTTCATCTATTATATCAATGGATAAACCTTTTAATTTGAGTTAAGATGACGTGGCACAAGTTATTAGACTTTTACGTTACATTGTTATCTAAGCGAACTGAGATTTCTTGTTACAGTAAGTTAATGCCACTGTAACTAATGTGCATGTTGAATCCAGTGATGAATTGCTGATGAAATGAGTGATAAAGAAGTATGTTTTGGAGAATTAATGAACTACAAAAAATAAAACATAATGAATAGGCATAAGGTTTTTTTTAATACGAGTCAACTAATTCTAGGACGACCACATGTTGTGCAGGTAGTTTGAAGTCACCGCATTTGAATCTTCGTGGCCACAAGAGGATGTTTATTCCTCCTTGGATTTGAACCTGAGACTTTCAGACACTTAGACACTTTTGATCATTGGAGTCCAAGTTCAAACTAATCAAGCACCACTTTTATGGTTTGGGCGTAACGTTAATTATGTTAGCACCAACATTACGGCATTAATATTATATAATCGTTTTGTAAACCGACAAAATGACATTCTTTTGTTTATCATTGTGCACGAGTTTGAAAAAGCGTTCTATAAACACGTGCCCTATAAAATCAAATACAAGTTTATGGGACACTTAACAAACATGTTCAATAAAATAACTGATACGACATTTTATTTTAATAAATATACTAAAAAACTTGTTAATAAAAATCTATTATAACACTTTTAGGTAGTTTTGTCCTATAACTTAACTCTTATAAACTATATTATTAAGACGTTTATAAACCTTATTTTATAATAAAACCTAAAAGTGATTGAAATTCGTTGATACCTTCTGAGTTTTTGAACTGCATTCTACATAAGCAGCTGCACCAATGATGTTCTTGAGGTCTTCTCCCTGGAGTGTATGACAACTTTAGTCCAATAAGACGACATTGCATGCAACAATATACCCGGTAAGCTCTAACCGGATAAGAGTCGTCACCCATTCATACACGGATAAAATTGTTGGATCGTTTTTACCGGGTAGGATTATAATAGATTAAGACGACTTAATTAGTTACCTCGGACGTTGTAACCGGAGTTGCATCGGGATGATTTCTCAAGTACTCCATATCTTCTCTTAAATCTGCAGCATATTTCATATTTTTGAAGGTTTTACAAAATTTACATGTTAGAAACTTAGGGTTTACCAGAAAACAACAAAATGAAACCAAAAAAAACACTCTTTTTCTCCATGGATGTATGCAACCTACCAAGTTTAGTTCCCACAAGGACTATTGGTACAGATGGTGCATAGTGTCTGAGCTCCAAGATCCACTGAAAATCAAAAAATGGCTGAATGAAGATGTAAAATAATTAATATTTATTTATTTATTGGTAATTAAAAAGAAAATGGAAGTGACCTTCCTGTAGATGTTTTCATAGCTTGCTTTGCTGATCAGAGAGAATGCCAAGAGGAAAACATCTGCTCCTCTGTAACTAAGTGGTCTTAATCTATTGTAATCCTCTTGTCCTGTTTGATTCAGTCTTGCAAAGCATGAAATTAGAAATAATCCATAAATTAACAAATATTCTTTTTTATTTTTCATGAAAATTAATAAAAAAAACAAAAATCTCTGACGTTGTGTTTTCGAATTTTTATTATGAAAGATCGGATGGTTATGTAATTTTAAAAATCTTTTTGGAGGGTTTTAGTTTCTTTTCTTTCTCTTTCCTCCCACGTCTCGAATGAAAGTTTTGGGAGGAAATTTATTCTTTCCTTCTGTTTCCTAAAAAATTATCGAGAAAACGAGATTTCTTTCCTTTCCTTTGTAAAAAATGTTTCGAGATGTTTACGGTAAAAAGGTACACAGTTTCAAGATTGAAATAATTATTACATTTTTTGTTTAAAAAAGGGAAAAAGTCTAGAAAACCCAATGGATTTTAGTGTTTGGAATAATTAAGTTCTAAGACAATTTTTTGGAACAAATAAGTGTCAATGATAAAATAATAGCAAAAACCTAAAAAATGTTGTACACAGACTAAAATAGTAATTTATACACATATTTTAAAACGTTAAAATAGAAAGTTTGAGCATATTACCAGCAGTATCCCACAAGGCAAGGTTTACAGTACTGCCATTAACCACCACATTAGCACTGAAGTTATCAAATATCGTTGGAACATAATCCTATTAAAAAAAAAAACACAACAATAAGTTACTGGGACCTCATTAATTTGAGAAGTAGAAAAGTAATTCTAGTATTTTATCTGATTAAGATTTACGGTTTTGACTGTAAAGTATCGAGTACTTACTGCTATGGTATGCGGAAGATAGAATAAACAGGTTTATATAAAAAAGATGCTATAAATATTCCGAAAGAGGTTATACTGACTGAAAAAACTGCATCTTTACAAAATTCATACCAATCTATTGAATTGTTTGAATTTTTATGTAAAAGATTTATAGACGGGGTTAATCATTTTGATAATATATCCAAATTAACCCCGTCTTGATTGAAAGGAATTCCTGAGAATCCAACAAACAAAGTAAATTATAATCAAGGGGTGATTTTGTAACTTTTACTAATAGACGGTAAAACAAGTGCATATGTGAACTCGTGTGATTCACATGTGAACCCATGTAATTCACATATGAACTATTTAACTGATTCACATATGAACGCGTGTGATTCACATATGAACTAATTAACCGATTCACAAGTGAACTATGGTTCAAATATGCACTTGTTTGCCGCATATTTTTAAAAGTTACGAAACTACCACTCTATTTTTCGTTTGACCAGTCAAAGCCGCAAATCATGACCGGTCAAAGTCGCAATTTTGACCAATTTTGATCGTATGAAGGGCTAGTATCACTTCTTTACTTCTCAAATACTTATTGTTTCTCAAATGAACCTCTCCCACCAAAAGTATCCATAAAAAGAGCGCCTTTATATATATATATATATATATATATATATATATATATATATATATATATATATATGTATGTATGTATATGTAGGGGAGCGATCAAATGCAAACCACTCAATTTGTACAAACCGTGCAAACCGCATTCAACCAATCATAATTTTTCATTTTGTTCATTTTTTTGTAATTATGAGAGGTTGATTAATCATTTTTATTGTGGAGGGTGTTAATCATAGATATTATCATCTTCATTATTTTAATTTTAGAGAAATACATGAAACAGTTTCATTAATGTTAGAGAAATACATGAAACAGTTTCATTAAGTATTATATGAAACAATTTCACAACCATATATGAAATAACTTCATCAAAAAAAGTATTATATGAAACAATTTCACAAGATTAAACAATTTCATGAAAAAATTTCATAAGATTAAACAATGAAATCGACAGATGAAGGTGGTTTGCACGGTTTACACAAATGAGAGCGGTTTTCATATGATCACTCCTCTGTATATGTATGTATACAATTTTAATGGACCATGTCTAACTGGTTTAGTACTCTAATATCTCCTCTCAAACGAGTGCTAAATGATGCTCTGAGGAACCAAGACACAAGTGTCTTGTGTCCTTATGTGGTATCGGAAGCTGGCTCTCATACTATGTAAATATGTATAGAATCCATTTGAATATTTCTCTAAAAGAGCCCAAGTAGACAGGGGAATGTTATACACACATATATATATAGGGGTCTTTTTTTTAAGAACTCATAAAATTGTGATAACCCTGAGAATTTGTACATCATATGTTATTTCATATGATTTTTTTCATTTAAGACTAGGATTTAGACTATATATTAACATATATTTATTTCATAATGTGTTTGTTTCACATGTATTCGGTTCACAATGTAAACATTTTTTATCTGTTTGTGAAACAAAAAATACACGTAAAAAAATTTCACATTGTGAACCGAATGCATATGAGATATTTAGACAAAATATCATGTGAAACAAAACTTTAAGGTATAAATTCTTATAGATCTCACAAATTTTAGAGTTCTCAAATGATTAAGTCCATATATATATATATATATATATATATATATATATGGTCGGTTTCAGTTCCAACCCAGTTTTAGATTGTGAATTATGGAACAAAAGAGAACGTGTACCATATATTTATTAATTATTATCATGAATGATGTATCATTTATCATCAATGTGTTTTATTCATCATGAATGTTGCATTAATTTATCATGAATAATGTTGTATTATTCATCATGAATAGTTCACAAATATCACCTGTATTATTCATGATAATTATGAACACCCGACCTGATACGTACTACACTACCTAAAATAGGTTTGCAACCAAACTTTGAATATCTAATGGACCATATTTAGCCAACTAGGGATTCCAACAAAAACCTCTAGTTTCATGTCTAGATAAGAGACTTGATGATCATTGTGGAACCGAACCCTACTTGCTACCTCAACATGTTCTTAATTTTTTTCTAAAGCAAGCACACGTCTCGTAAAAAGATCGATAAGTGATTTCTTTTGAACGACATTCGCTTAACAAATAACAAGATGAAAGAAAAGATGCACATATCAGCATGACGGAAAGAGAGTAAATCATACCATTGGAAATGTGTTGCTAGTATATGAAACAAGCAAGCATGTCTTTCCGACCGCTCCATCTCCGACTGTAACGCATTTAATAAATCTTACGATGCTCGTACTTGTACTCATTTCAACACTTGTGTTTGTTTCTTAATAAGCTTGATCTTGAGAGAAGCAAATCAAAGTAGTGAATTAAGTTTAATTTCCTCTTCATATATATACACACACATATATATATATATATCATGTATCATGTATATATATATATATATATGTATCTATCATGTATGTATGCTTTAGAATCTCATGTTTCCACAAGAATGAATTCTTAACAACCTGAAATAATTATGACTAGGTTTCGTAGGAAATCTTTTACTTCACTTTAAAGTGCAAATGCAATATTTGATTTTGTGAATGATTTATCAAAAGTTGGTGTAGTGGGTTTGTGTTGGTTGGTTTGGTTTGGTTGTAGAAGAAGTTAGAAGAAAGTTTAAATCAATAAATGGGAGAGTAAATTGTATAAAAATGAAAGGAATTTTATTTTGTACATCTACCTGTAAAATTATGATAAGTTTTAGAACTGGTGCATTATGTGTTATTTCATATAATTTTTATTATATCTACAGTTTAGATTTAGTGTATGATTAGCATATATTTGTATAACTGTTTGTTTGTTTCACATATATTTGTTTCATGAACATTTTTTATGTGTTCGTAAAACAAAAGTACGACTAATAAGTTCCACAATGTGAATCAAATACATATACATGAAATAAACAAATTGTGAAACAAATATATGTTAATTAATATATTAAAGTTATAGTTTTTGATGGAAAAAAATCATGAAAAATCATACCTTACAATAATAGTTATCATAATTCATATAATTAAACCCATTTTATTTTATTATTATTTTGGTGAATAAACTTTCAAATAAAACAAATTTAGGTTACATGTGTACAAGGAAGCAGACAATTGTTTGGTCAAGAACTTTAAAATTTATAGACATAACATAACACATCAAGTTTCACCTACAACAAGTCAATTTGCATATGATCTATAACAAAAATGCATCTTATTGAATATCAAATATGTTTAAATGTTTTTATAGACTGTTTTATTTGACTTAAATTTATGTAACAGAACAATTGTGTAGTCTATGAAAAAATGTTACAAGAATAATATGACGTTTTCTAACATATTTTTAGCACAATTTTGAAACAGCTTGTTCTATTAACTTTTTATTTAAGACATTTTTAAAAGTGTCTCATAAACAAATCTTTATATAAGAAACTATAAGATAATTTTACAAATAATATCATATGAAAAGATTATTAAGAATCAAGGGTGGTGCTTGATTGGTTTAAGCTTAGGCTCCAAGGTCAAAAGTACCTGGAGGTCGCAGGTTCAAATCCAAGGAGGAATAAAAATCCCCTTGTGGGATTAGTCGGCTCACATAGCGGGTTGGATATACAGGTTAATAAGAAAAATTAGTAAGAGTCTTGAAAACTTTTTATGACACATAGAATTTTATCAACTTACGATAAAAAGTTAATGTAGAACGCACGATTATTAAAGGATAAGAAGTTAATTTCTAATTAACGTTTGTAAAAACGTTTGGATTTGGTCACTTCCTCTAATTAACTTGAAATAAATTTGTTAAATGAGGCTTCATTCTTTTATTGATCTTTTTATCTTTTACCCAATCAAAAGTCATTGAGACCAAAATTGTAGTTTACTCTTTTTATTTTTATTTTCTTTATAATATTTTTAATACTGTATATATAGAGGGCAAATCATTTGCAAACTGTCCAAAGATTGCAAACCATGCAAATCCATCTACACCGTTCTTTTTGTTATCAACGATTGACGTGATTTGATGGGAATTTTCCAATTTAAATGATGAAAAAATCAAGGAAAAGGTAATTTTGGAATACATTTTTAATACTTTAAATTTTTACACGATTATATATTTTAAGTTACAAATCTTTTCATGATCATCTCCTCCACCATTTCCATACTAATCAGAATTATCGAACGACCATAATTCTGCCTCACCCACCGCCGACTATCTTCCTCCCCCTATGTCGGCCATCTTTCTCACCCCCTCGGCCATCATTGACTATCATGAACAATAGTACATCCGATATTAACAATAAGATGAAGATGCGAGAAGATGAACATGTGAAATCAGACAAGTACATTGAAAATAAGATAAAACAGATATTGAATCGTCTCTAGTTTCTTTTTTCAACCAACTTTTCGGGATTTGGTTAAATTTGGTGTTAGTATTTTAGGATTTATTAGTCATTACTAAGAATTGTGTTTTAACACATATGAAATGTTATTCTTCTTTTAACACATATGGATGTTATTCGTTTGATTTGGTGGTAGTATTTTTTTTTATTTGTGTTTGGTTTGGTGTTAGTCTTTTTTCAATACATATGAAACATTATTATGGTATTTAGCTATTGAGCTTCAAAGTTTATGTTTTCATGTGATCACAGACTTTGGAAATGGATTGTCGCGAGTTACCTTATGGTAAGGAAAGTGTTGTCTAGCGGGCTCGACCCTATCTTTTCGTAGCATGCATTCCCCAAGGGATATAGGCCTAGGAAAAATTGAAAGAAAGAGAACTATTTGAAGACGAAAGATAACTTATTTAGACGAATAATGTGTTGATGCCATTACCTGATCAGACACTCGAGAGACCTCCACAATTGATAAGAGTTTGATCTTGGCTCAGAAGGAACGCTAGCTATATGCTTAGCAACACATACCAGGGGGACTTCTGTGTACCACTAGTGCCACAAAGGCTTTTGGTGGTCTTATTGGCGCATACCACGGTGAGGTCTTCGACTGGGGTGAAGTCGTAACAAGGTACTAGGAGAGTCGCTAGCTTGCTTCATTATATTCTATAAGCCGAGCGACTTATCGAGTCTACGAAGCTTCGTAGTTGCTTCTGAATCGTTTCTTAAAAAGTTAATGTGTTGTTTCATAAGTGAAACAACACTGGTATAAAAGTAGGGTACCAAAAACTATTGTTTCATATGAGAACTAATAATGTGTTTGGTTTCATATGAGAAATAAAATTATCACATATTAAAAAAGATAATGTATTGTTTCATTAATGATTTAACACGGTATGAAACTAAGGTAACAAACAATTATTACTTCATATGAAAACCAATGATTGGTTTGGATTCATATGAGAAACACGACCTTCACAATGAAGATGGCTATAGAGAGAGGGGGGAATCAGTTATGACAACCAAATGAGATTTTTAAGGAAGAGATTATCTCCAAGATAAATTCGTTAAAATATGATATTTTATGAGATATTTAAGTAAGATGATTATCACTAAAGTATGATTTTGTGATCCCAGATTCAAGTGTCACACCCCGTTAAAGCGAAATCACGAGATGTAACAGGTAAGCGTGTCACAGCAATAGATAATAAATAACACCATTCAAGTTTTACAAAATTCGAATTTAACATCCATAACCAAGTTGGAATAGAATAATTCTTTACAAAAGTTTCAAAATGAACTTAATTGGTGTCGTCACATATATGCTCCAAAAACTTCATTTCTTACTTATTTCCTGAAAAGCATGAAACATAAAACAACGTCAACTACAAAGAGTTGATGAGTTCACAGGTTTTCATATGCACAAAACTATTTACAATGCATAAATATCATAGTGCAAAACAGTCAATATTTCATGACATAAACAAATCTTGACTAAACAGTTATTTAGTCCAACAGTTTCATAAATAAACAGTATAGTTTGCATAACTTCATGCTTTTCCCCCAGTTTAAATAAACAAAAAACATTAAAAGTGGGGTCGTGAATACTCACTTGTTTGCTGTTTTGAATATCCAAGAGCTTGACAATGCTTGAAGCTCTAATCGTCCACCCTAGACTTTCTTAAATAGTCCAACCTCCAGAAATAAGATCACCTATAGGTTCTTGATAAAGATAAAGTCAAATTATATCTTATGTAATACCAATGAGTTTTTATGAACTAAAGTTGATACTTATATTATTTGCTCTAAAAATAGTCCAAAAATAATACATTTTAAAAATCAAAGGCCTTAGCACATAAAGCTGCCATTTGGACAGAATGTAAATTCTGTTTCTGTAATTTTGGTCTCACAAATCACTGTTAAAAGGAACCTTCCATAACTCTTTTTGAGTCCAAATTTTTATATCATCAACAGTAAACAGATTTGTTCTGAATATCAAGAATTTTGGATGGGTTTAAGGCACTCATTATTACCCTACAACTTTGAGTGACACAGTCCCCAAGACAGATTGCACACTCTTCGAGTGACGGCCATTTGGGGGGCCTAAACACATCATTTTCAGTGATTTTAACTTTATTTTTAAGCCAACACATAAGGCTAACTTCCAGAAAAATAATCATCCATTTTTATTGAGTTTTGAAGGAGATATGACCGTTTTAAAATGCATGCAAGATTCTGTCAGCAATGCTCTTTTTGCACCATAATCTTGTATCGAGAACTTGAAAGCCCAAAAATTAATATTTTTGAGTGAAACCAGTTGAATTAGAAAGATAACTCATTAAGATAAGTTCTAGAAGAAAAATAAACCATTTTGGAGAAATAACCAGAGAGATATGGTCGTCTAAAGTAGGTTTTACCTACTGTCAAGTGTGTTGTTGCACACTTATTTTGTTCTTAACATTTGAAGGTTCAAAACTTCTTCATTTTATATGATTCCAGTTGGAAAAGAATCATAACTCATCAAAGTACGTTTTAGAAGAAAAATTAGAACATTTGGACTTTTATTTTGAAAGATACAATCGACACAAGTGCTAACAGAATCTGTCAGTTTTCAAAATACATCTTTTAATGATTAACTTCCACATGCAATGAGGTTTTATCCTACTTTCATTGAGTTCTAAGTTCGTGGATCATAGATTATCATCATTTTGAAGACATTTTTATGTCTTTGATGTATCAGCTCCCCTTTTTAATTTCTCCAGAAAATTTAATTACAAAATCAAGAAGAATGTGTAGAAAATGAGAATCTTTGTTATTGTATAAAGGTAAGATAACTATCTATTACCTTTTGCCTGAAATCTTGAATATTCTTCAAGATTGACAGATTTTTAATG